CTTTCACATCCACCTGATGCGTGGATTCCACTTCATTCTTTCCACTGGTTTTGTCGCTATGGACCAAATGCTGTTGAAACAAGTTCCAAATAGCTCCGTGGCCTCACCTTGTCCCTACCCTCTGTGACTGTGACGGGCCGCTCCTTTTGCTCAGCAAACACCAGCCTCCCCTCCCAATTCCCCCCATCATCAGTGGACAAACATTCAACCATTTTCCCATTCTCTGGAAATCCAGCTTGGAGTCTCTTTCATTCGACCCCCTCTTCACTCCAACCTTTAACTGCACTCTCAAGCCCAATCTTTTCGACCACATTTTTTATTACCCCAACCCACTAACTCCGCTCGGCTAGCTCCGGCCTCTCGCTTGTCCCTCGTGCCCTCCGTTCCACCATCGCCGGTCGTGCTTTCAGCCACTGTGGCCCACGAGTGGTTTCGGATTCATTTAGGAAGCAGTTCAATGCTGTGATGGGGGGGAGGGGAGGGGGGGGGGTTCTGGAGGGAGGAGATCAGATGTGATCTTGTGATATAAATGTAAATTCTTGCTGTTGAAACTGTTCAAGGAATCACAGTTAACCCTGCAAGCCAAAGCCAAAGCCAAAACAGATGGTCCTTACTGGACAAGCAGGAGGAAAGCTTGACAGACAGTGCCATCAATACAATACAAAATTACATTTGTATAGCGCCCTTCACGTCGGGAGGATGTCGCAAGGTGCTGGACAGTCACGGATTTGGACCCGAGAAGGGGTGGGGGTGGTGGGTAGCAATGGCAAGCTATAAGGTTTTAGCTGGTCAAACTCCAGCAGTTACCCCAACGCACACTCTGGGGTCCCCAAGCCTTGGCTCTCGCCAACCTGATCCTAATACTCTCCGGAATTAGGTAAGCAGGATGCATCCCACCACAGGGAGTGTGCGTGTTCCATTCCAGACGCGTGAAAATTTCCACTTGTTGGTGGCTTACGCATGTGGAATTCTGAGTAGTATGGTTTGGAGACTCTTAATCACGGTGATGGATTTTCTACGTGTGTCAGATGCCCAGCTGACCAAAAGAAAATAATCTTTGCATTAATTCGGAAAGATATTTTTGCAGGAAAACTTGCCCGGGGCTGTTCTTTTCTAATTTCTCCCCACCCTCCCACTCTGTGCCTTCAGCCACTACGCAGTGAACCTCTGGAACTCTCTGCCTCAATCCCTCTACCTCACCCCCTCTTTGCCCGTCTCAGATCACACCTGAAGACCTTTCGCTTCGACCGTGCCTAAGGTCACCACCCCTTGCTCCCCGACTTAGCGTCAAACTACTGTTAAGTGCTCAGAGACGCAACCCTTCATGAACAACAACAACACATTTTGAAGTGTAGTGACTTGCCGTTGTGCATGGCTCTATTATAATAATAACATAATAATAATTCTGGGATTTGGTTCAGCACTTCACAGGATATACTGTGTGTTTGTGGGTGAAACGTGGCAGGGTCCAATTATATTTGGGGATTGTTGGAGGACACTGGGAGAGAGAAATCTCCCTTCTCTTTTCGAATAGTGCCACGGGATCTTTAACATCCACCTGAACAGGCAGACGGGACCTCAGTTTAATCTCTCTTCCAAAGGACGGCAGCTCCGACAATACAACACCCTCCCCCAGCCCTGCACTAGAGCTTCAGCATCGACTCTATGATTCCAAGTACCGACGTGCGGCTTGAACCCACAACCTTCTGACTCGGAGGCGAGAGCCCTGCCACCGAGCCAGGCTGACACGATCACACACACTGTGTCAAATATCCTCGTTCTGTGCTGAACATTTCTCTGTTTTTTTATATGAGGCTCCAAAAAAAAAGAGAATTTCTCCTGGGCAATACACCGCCCCCCAACGAAACTTGGTGACTCTCTTTCACGGCTCTCTTTCACGGGACATTGCTCTGCGCAAAGTGGCGATTTCACAGTTTCCAAAACAAGGCTCTGAAGCCTTTGGATTCTCTTCGGAACGTAAACTGAGATATAGTTTATTACTCTTTCTAGATTATTATTTTACAATAATAATCGTTAGGTTTTGATTTTGACGCCTTTCACATCGGAAGCACGTACCAAAGTGACTCTGCGTTTTCTGGGCAAGCCCGACAGCCAATTTACGCACACAAAACAGCCAGAAGTGAGTGAGCAATTTTATTTGGGGGATTGTTGGCCAGGGAGAGAGAAACTCTTTTAAAATAATAATAATAATAACAATCCTCGCATTTCACATAGCGCCTTATCACGTCTTCGAGACGTCTCAAAACGCTTCACAGAATGTACTGACTGTGTATTTTGTGGGGAAACACAGCAGCCAATTGCGCACAGCAGTGTCCCACAAACAGTCGTGGATTGAGTGACCAAATTATTATTTATTTTGATTTTGAAAAGCGATCCCCCAGAAAGGCGATCCGCCAATTAACTAACAACCGCGTTCCTTACTTGCTGCTGGGAAAACAGAGGAGTGTGGAGTAAGGAAATCTGCCTAATGTTTCGCTCTGCCCAGGATTTGAAACTGGGTCCTCTCGCTTGCGAGGCGAGTGCGCTACAGGGCTCCCCAACCTTTAACATCCACTTGAACAGGCAGCTCCGACCGAGCACTCAGACGCCGTCCAGTGCGAAGGACGCTGTCTAAATGCAAGTTGTTATTGTTGTGATTCCACGTTCCCCCGTACAGCTCGAACCCACAACCTTCTGACTCAAGAGGCGAGAGTGCTACCACTGGGTCAGGCTGACACACAAAATGTGTTCAAAGGTTTCTACTCTTTTTATTTTAATGTATGATTTTCTTCCCCCCGCCCCCTGAAAATTTTAAATCTTAATCAGCCTGGGACCATAGAGGTTTGGGCAGTCAGTCAGTGGTCGGAACAAAATCCCAAATAAAAACTTGGACAAAGGCAGAGTCACTACACTTTATAGTAAAACCTTGTGAATGCCTTCAAGAGATGCTGTCGACGTGATGAGGCGCTGCATCAATTACTATTGATATTACTATTTAATAATCCTTGCATTTGATACGGCGCCTTATCACGTCGTCGAGACGTCTCAAAGCGCTTCACGGAATATACTGCCAAGTGAATTAACTGTACATTTTGTGGACAAAACGCGGCAGCCAATTGCGCAGAGCACCGTCCCACAAACAGTTGTGGATTGAATGGCCAAATTATTATTAGTTTTTGAAAGGGATATAGAAATCGCTATTTGTTTCTTTCGTTTTCTGACCCTAATCCCTCCCACTCAATAACTCGGTCTGTCTTCATTCAGCAACTCCTCTCTCCTATCCCACCCATCGCCCCCACCACCCCCTCTCTTATACTGAGGCCTCTGTGTAAGAACTAGCCATTGAAAATCGCCTCTTTGTCCATCTCGACCCGCAACCAAAGGAACATTTGTTACTGCCACTGAAATTGACTACAAGGGCGTAGAACAAGCAAGTAGCCGGGTGGTGTAAAGGAGGGTTAAACGCAGCCTTTTACAAACCTCGGGACTTCAGAACCAATCCCGTTTTTACTTAAACATACATTCCTATACCCTTGCAATATGTTAGCACATATAAGCACATTCACCCACAACATACAGTCAATTCATTTGACAGTACGTCTGGTGAAATGCTTTGAAACGTCTCAACTATGTGATAAGGCGGTATATCAAATGTAAGTATTATTATTATATCCCTCAGCCTCGAAGTCTGACAAGTGGCCAAAAAGGCATGAATTGAAGGGTGTCTCACAGTGTTAACACGGCTCAGGAGAGAGAGGGGTGGGGGGGGTTGGTTGGTGGGGGCGGTGGGCGGTGGGGGGTGGGGGTGAGTGAGGCGGCTGGGGCTCGGGGAAGGTTTAAATGCTTCCTATATAGCGTAATGCTTTCTCGGGCAATCATTTTCACGCTTTGGCAAACAATAGGTTTTAAAATGTCCTGTTTCTGTTTTCTTTTAAACAAAAATGGGTAACTTTGAACCGAAACAACACTACTAGTTCGCTGCTTTTCACAGAACATTATTTTACGCCGTACATCGAAACGTTTCTTTTTTTTTTAAACTGAATATACGCACTCCCCCCACCCCCAACCCACACGCTCGCACACTTCCCTTGGCCGCTAACACAAATGCTTTGGGCAGCCTGTTGGAACACAGGTCATAAAAGATCGGGAATGATGGTGCGGAGGGGGAATCTTGGAAAGATTTCTCGGGAAAAAAATATTGGATGAAACTTGACTCAAGACGTTTAAGACTGTTCTCTCACTCCCTCCCCCCACCCCACCATCAACTTACACAGTGAATAAAAAAAACGTGATTATAATCTGCTTTTTTTTTACCATCTCCCCCCACCCCCTCCTCAAACTATACTCACTGGGAACAAGGCGAGACAATAAGACAATCCATCTATGCCGCCAAACACACACATACGCACACACCGAGGTCTCACATTCCGGTTAACCACAGTGAAATCAATGACGACAGCAACAAAATTCAAGCATTTCAAATCGCACTACTTGAAAATACTCCCTGGTCAATTATTTCTAAAATAAAATATATACGCCCGTGTTATACAGTGAGGTCTGATAACTCGACTCCGGCTTAACTTGTCCCTACCGCTTCAGTCATCACACGTTTCGACCCACAAAGTATAATAATACAATCGTTCCACTTTGCAGTCTATTCTGTGAAACGCTTTGAGACATCTCAACGATATGATAACAAAACAAGTGACATGTGTATAACGCCTTTCACGTCAGATAAGGTGTTATGTCAAAAACAAGGATTATTACAATATCCCGACCGTATTTATTTATACGTCTGTACACATGGCTAACTTGTGATTTTGGGTAAGTAACTGGTCACTAGAGCGCTCTTTCCCTCGGAATGACGAGTTAGCAGGAGTTTACAGTATATATATATATTTATATATAAATCGCCAGTGACATGTCCCACTTTATTAACAGCTTGTTTACCTGCTTCAGGTGCAGCGAAGTAGCCTTAAGGCTACATGTCTTAGAGGGTCTCTCCGTGAAGTGTTGACTTGTACAGAGTCCTACAGAGAGAGAGCGAGAGAGAGAGAGATGAAGAGAATGAGAAAATCAATTTAAATGTAGCAGCACTGGTCTACAGAAAAACAATTGGACGTTTAATATACCGTACAGTCGCCCCCAAAATCGACAGTCAATTCCCTTCACAGTATATTCCGTGAAGTGCTTTGAGACGTCTCGAAGACGTGACAAGGCGTTATATCAAAATGCAAAGGGCTATTCTTAAAGGCGAGAGTTATTATAATTCTTAAGCGGTTAAAAAAAAGTTTTGCTTTTAAAAAAAAGTTGGGAAACTCACGTCTCGGTCTGCGGGAGAGTGCGTTCTCTCTTTCTCTCTGTCTTCACACACTCTGCCTGTCTGCCTTCGAGAAGGGAAACACAAAAACACTCACACACAGAGTGGGAGAAGAGTAGTGACTTGTCTTGTATGGACGTGTCCCACACCTCCAATCTCTGGGCAGCTCACTGCTCTCACTCTCACTCTCTCCAGTTGCTCTCACACTCACTCTCTCCAGTTGCTCTCACACTCACTCTCTCCAGTTGCTCTCAAAGGGGAGTCAAAAAGCTTTCAAAAGGGTTTCTTCCACACAGCTGTCCTACCTGCAGGTTTTGGGGACTAGTTTATGTCCTCCCCATCCTCCCAGGACCCTGCTCTCTCTGTCTCTTCCCTGTCTCTCTCTCTCTGTGCCTCTCACTCACTCACTCACTCTCTCAGCATTAGTTACAACAACTGACTAGTTCCTGAAAATGTCCAAGATCCCTACAGTATTGCCCCTCCCAATGACATCAGGCAGGCAGGCAGGCTTGCCTCTCTGTGCTGCAAATATATCTCTCTGTCTGTCTCTCAACTCCAACTGCAGAGAGAGAAAGAGGTGAAGGTGGAGAGAAACAGTCAGGAGAGGGAAAAGGGGGTGAGAGAAAGAGAGGGGGGAAAGGGGAGAGGTGGAGAGAGAGAGGGGAAGGGGAGAGATGAAGAGGGGAGAGAGAGGAGGGGGTAGAGGGGCAGGGGAGAGAGAATGAAAGTGGGGGGGGAGAGAGGAATCGTAGAATGGTAGAATTATACAGCACAGAAGGAGGCCATTCGGCCCATCGTGACTGTGCCGGCTGTAAATCTCTGCGAAGCGAGACGCCGCACAATACAATTTACATTTACGCAGAGCCCTTCACATCCGGAGGAGGATGCCTCAAAGCGCTTAACACTGGCTATCGCATGTTAACTGTTGTTCGAGGTTTCCACGACCGTTTGCGGGGACGCTGCTGTGCGCAATTGGCTGCCCCGCTTTGCCCACGAAATGCACAGTCACTCCACTTTGCAGTATATTCTGCGAAGTGCTTTGAGACGTCTCAACGACACCCGAGCCTTGTAAAAACGTGTGAAGTGTTTCCCAGGTATCTGCTGTGTAATAGAAACTGTCCTGGTGCTGATCCTTTCCAGTGGTGGGGATTATACCCGTCTCATTTATCAACGGGTCTGCGTTTCCAATGACCTGACACTTGGGAGTAGGAGAGTGACCGAAGGTACGTTCGAAAGAGGAGGGTCTTGAGATGTGCCTTGAAGGAGGCAGGCGAGGGTGGGGATGGGGGTGGCGGCGAGGCGAAGGGACTGTGAGGTGGAGTTCCAGAGGGTGGGAGCATCTTAGAGTGGAAAGGCAACAGCGAAGAGCACTCACCCAGCGCTTCATCACAATTCATCCGGGCTCTTAAAAGAGGAATCCATCTTTCTATTTTAGAATAACTCGGTTTTCCCTTCATATATATTTTGTTGGTCAGCCAGGCGTCTGACGCACGTGCAAACCCACTGCCGTGCTTAAAGAGTATCCAAGCCAGACCTCAGAGTTCCACATCTGCCGCCATACGAAAGATGCTACGCAGTAAACTCCCGATAACTCAACACAGACTTAACTTGTCACTACCACTTGAGTCATCGTGCTGTCAACATTCCGACGACATGTTAGTTATGTATTTATTACATCTGCCTAACTCGCCACTCCTGATAACTCATCACTGAACCCTTTATTACTCGCAGTGATGAATGATCAGCAGTTTATTGTATTTTCTCTTAATAAAAAGACGCAATAAGTCTAAGCATTTAAGGTCATGATGTTGGTCATCGACTTCACAGCTGTTTTGAAGAGCATTACCGTGCATAAATTGGCTGCCGCATTGTCTTACAAACACACAGCCACTACACTTCACAATAAAATCCTGTGGAAGCGCTTATTAAGCCCGGAAAGAGCTTGAAGGATTATTTTCATCCAAGTTTGCTAGAATATAGAATAATTATAGATAAAGTTGAAGCTGAAGTCAGAGCAGTTTTTACACAACAGTTTGGATAAATATTTTTTGAAATATTAGAGGAAAGAGCACGGGATTAGAGCGCTCCGGTGGGGGAGCGAGCACCAGCACAGACACGACGGGGAAGACAGCAGGGGAGTGGGTTTGGAGTAGAGAGCTCAGCACAGACTGGATTAACTGAATAGCCTTGTTTCTGGGCTGTAAACATCCTCTGATTCCAACAGACACACAAGGGGACACATCACACGACACTTGAGCACCAAACGTGGGGAGCACTATTCTGGGTTGGGCAAACCAACAAAGCCCAAATAAAACCAATCAATCGCTTCCCGGCTGTTTGTGGGACACGCATCAAGTTATACGTGCGATGCCCTCAATGTATTGCCACAACAACAACAACAACAACAAGATTCCATTTATAAAGCGCCTTTCACGTCAGGAGGACGTCCCAAGGCGCTGCACAGTTGGGTCATGACCCGAGCAGGGGGGAAATGGTCAGGGTGAGGGAAGGGAGGGAGCGAGGAGGGGGAAATGGTCAGGGTGAGGGGAGGGAAGGGAGAGAGCGAGGAGGAGGAAGAGAGTCGAGAGGGGAGCTGAAGGCACGGTCAAAGAGAAAGGTTTTGAGACCGGCCTTGAAGGAGGAAAGGGAGGAAGCGGCGAAGGCACTGGGGGATGGAGTTCCAGAGCCTCGGGGCTGAGAGGCTGAAGGCCCGACCACCGATGGTAGGGCGGTTGGGGCGGGGGATGTGGAGCAGACCGGAGCCGGAGGAACGGAGGGTACGGGCAGGTAGGTAGGGGGATAGTAGGTTGGAGAGGTAGGAGGGAGCGAGGCCGTGAATGGCCTTGTAGGTGAGGATGAGGATCTTGAAATCAATCCTCTGGGGGATGGGGAGCCAGTGGAGGCGAGCGAGGGGGGGAGTGATGTGGTCCCGAAGCCTGGTGCGGGACAGTACACGAGCTGCAGAGTTCTGAATGACCTGCAGTGTGGAGGGAGGTGGCGGGAAGGCCGGCGAGGAGAGAGTTCCCATAGTCCAGCCTTGAGGTGACAAAGGCGTGGACCAGGGTTTCAGCAGCGTGAGGGGTGAGGTAATGGCGTAGTCTGGCGATGTTCCGGAGGTGATGGAAGGCAGTGCCAGTTGTAGTGCGGATGTAAGGGAGAAAGGACAGCTCAGGGTCGAACAAAACGCCGAGGTTCCTGACTGGCTTTGAGAGGTGGAGAGTGCAGCCTTGGATGCTGATGGTGTCAGCGCCTGAGGTGCGGAGGCGCTGACGTGAGCCAATCAGGAGGGCCTCGGTTTTTCGCACGTTGAGCTGAAGAAAGTTGTCACGAGGTTGACAGTAACAAATAAATAAGTCATCAGATGGAAACATACATTTTGTGCTGAGTAATCCTTGCTTCCGGTTGGAGGGATGTCCAGTCACAAACGCGGAAGTCAAACCAGTTTTCCACCACCAACCCCATTGCTTCATTGATGATTCACTGCATTGCACAATAATGCTCAGCACTCGGCAGTCAATGTACTGCTTGTGCAATGTCAGTGGCGGCCCAGGTAGAAACTTGCTACACATTGGCTTCCCAGCCTGGGGCCGAGTCTGATCCATTCAGGGAACGTTCCACTCTGAGGCTGGTCGCACCTGAAGGAACCAGGTGGAGGTGCACAGAGCTCTGAGACGTTCTCCTGCGTGAAGGGCAGGCCCATAGCGTAATAATAATAATAATAATAATCTTTGCATTTGATATAGCGCTTTTCACGTCGGGAGGACGTCCCAAAGCGCTTCACAGAAGACACTGTCAAGTGAATTGACTGTATATTTGTGGGCGAACGCGGCAGCCAATTGCGCACAGCAATGTCCCACAAACCGTCGTAGATTGAAAATGACCGATTTATTATTGTTTTGGGTTTTGGAGGGATTATTAATAGGCTCTGTGTGGAGTAAGGAAACTTACCCAAGGTTTTGCCCTGACCTGTCTGGAATTGAACTCAGGTCTCTCACTTGCAAAGCGAGTGCCCTAACCACTGAGCTACAGGACTCCACAAGCGTAGTGTTTAGCCCGCTCGCCTTGCAATCGAGAGGACCCAGGCTGGTCCCTCAATTTGGTCACTCAGTCCACCACTGCTGTTCAAATCCCTTCACTCTCTGGCACCTCCCTACCTCTCCAACCTCCTCACTCCCCAATCCACCACCCAGAGCCTCCGCTCGACTGGCGCCAGCCTCCTGCTTGTCCCTCGCACCTCCCGCTCCTACACTCCAAAACTCTGGAACAGTCTCCCTCAATCCCTCTGCTTTGCCCAGAGACATTGCCCTGCGTGGAGAGCGCTATATAAGTGCAAGCTGTTGTTGTTGCTTTGCGCAATTGGCTGCTGCTTTTCATCCACGAGAGATGTTTACCTAGCGGTAAGTAAGAACCTGGTCGTTAATCGATTGGCGATCGCTTCCTGGGGGTAATAATGCCTGAAAAATAAATGGGGTCACTCAATCCACGACTGTTTGTGGGACACTGCTGTGCGCAATTGGCTGCCAAGTTTCACCCACAAAATACAGTCAATTCACTTGACAGTATTTTCTGTGAAGCGCTTTGAGACGTCTCAATGACGTGATAAGGCGCCGTATGAAATGCAAGGATTATTATATTTTATAAAGTTGTTGTTGGTGTTCGGTTGCTTGACTTTCGGTGAGTTCACAAGAGATTGAACAGCGATCCATAAAACTCAACGATGTGATAAGGCCCTATAAGAAATGTGAGGGTTATCAATATTATTATTCTCTCAGCAATTTCTCTGGCCCCTTCTTTCTCTCTCTCTCTGGCTTTTACTCATTCTCTCTGAGTCTCACAAGAGGACAACAGAGATTTAGATGAAGAAAACCCTTTGGCCCATCTGATCTCCTTCCTCCAGAACACCCACCCTACCGTCCCCCCATCACAGCATTTTTTAAACGAGTCCCAGTGTCCTGGCCTCAAGCAAACTTCCTGGTAACCCACATCCTCCCTCTGCTTTCACAGGCCCCAATGTGATTAGAGACCATCACAGAGGGTGAGCGGATCCTGACATCCTTTGCTGAACATGTCACCTTGGAGCCATTTCAGACTCCACTTAGGAGCAGAGTGGAGACCAGACCAGCGGCTGAGAGGAGCGTTCCAATGGAGGAGAACATAATAATGATCCTTGCATTTGATACAGCTTTGGGACATGTCAAAGTGCTTCACAGAACATTGCAAAGTGTAGTGACTGTGTATTTTGTGGGCACAAAGCGGCAGCCCAGTTCATGCCCAGCAGTGTCCCTTTTTTTAAGGGATTATTACCCCCGGAAAGCGATCCATCAAACGATTATCAACGAGGTTCCTACTTACTACTAGATAAGCAGAGGCGTGTGG